AAGAAAAGTTGTTTGAATAGACCTTCGTCGAAAGTTCTTGGGCCTATAATCTCTCTCATCCGTTGCAACATGTCTGTCGCAGAACCGTGTTGCAGGTCGATATTGTTGAAGAGTTGATCTAACCTTTGTCGATCGGTTAGGTCTCCTCGTTTAAGAATCGAGCGTTTTAAGATTTCGTAAGGATCGGAAACATCACTAGTAAACATACTAGGTGTTACGTACCTGTTGAATTCGCGCGGTAGTGCCTTGACTACTGCGAGGAATTGTGCACGTGTGTCGATCACGCCGTGCTCGGAAAAGTCGGCTTCTGCGTAGCAAAACCAGGCTTCGATGTTGTCAGGCCAGAAAGGCATCAGTTGAAACGAAGGCGGGGACAAAGTCTTAAGCTTGAGTACTTTGGGTGTCTGTTCAGTCATGATGAAGTATGAAATACGATAATGAACGAAGGGAAAAATATAAATATATCCAGGAAAAAACACGAAAAAAATTACAATCTTTAAAACAATAAAAAGATAAGGCCATGATATATAAAAATCCCAAAAAGGAACAGACTCGCAGTTGCAATTAGGTGTACCAGATCACGTCGTTCTCACCAATGATGATGTCACAGGTATTCAGTGTTTGACAACGCTTTTACCAGTAACGCTTTCTAATATAATTCGTTCCCACCCAGAGAAATCAAAAGACAGAAACGAGAAGATCAGAAGAGTGTATTTGGCGATTACCAATATATCGGAATTCTCTGATCTAATCTGGCTAGCGACTGCGGTTGTTGTTGAGCACGGTGTTACCACACGTGATCTGGTGCGGATGCATGACCGAGCGCCTTCAGCTAGATGAGTCCACTAGAACATATGGTCAGCATCCAATGTCGAAAACGTAGAGCTATTTGGGGATTTATTTATCGCTACATCACTGTTCGTTCACGGAGATGGAGCATCAAAATACAGGATTGGCTATTTTTATGTAGTTAGATGCGTTAAAACAAATATATACGAATACTGTGGACGGGTTCAAGGAGAAATCCAGAAGTCGTTCACATATTTGCAAAACTCGTATTGCATGAAAACAACCCGAAACCGGAGTTTAAATGAATTTCGTGTAATACGGGCGTCAAGCCATGAATTACAATGTGAGACAAAAGCAAATAAAAGGTGTATATTCAACACTAGTAAAAATGGAATTGGTTGTGTATTCTCCGAATGAGTGGCCTACAATGAGTCACGAGAGGTCAGAAAGTCTAATTTCCTACTCACTTGGATATCACAAATATATTACTTATTTATTAGTAAAAATGATAACCACCAATGTAACTAATGTTTAGAGGCTGAAGAAAACGTAGTCTTTTCATAAAAGGCCGGTTCAGAAAAGCTTATTATCTAGCGCTAAGTGACATATTACCTACGTTAATACAATGAAGTATCTATTTAAGACTTGGACTGAGATCGCTTGTGCACACACAATAAATTTACCCCCATTACGGCGGCTTGGGACTCATATATGTACATGATTTCGACTACAACGTGACGGGAATCCTAGAATATATGACTACTCTGTAAGAAGGTAACTAAAAAAGATAGTAAGCAGCACAAACTTAGTACGAAATAATATAACGAAACTATGAAAGTCGTCTGCATCTCTCTTGCTCCTGTGCAGTGAATATTTGAAACAGACAGTAGTTCGGCACGAAGTAAGTCAGAGTGAATTCAGACAATATACGGGGTATTATTAATTCAATTCTTGGTTTAGCACGGCGCGTTATACCGACCATATGTAGGTCCAAAACTAATTTAGGTCAGATACGTGGCATTGACAAAACGAAAAATCTAGACGAAATCTAGGGTTGCAGGAAATTCATAGTTCAAACTCATCGTAAATTTCTGGTACTTGTATATTCTTTTTGACTATGCAATTTATCTAACTGTAAATTAGACAGGCAGTGGTAGAGTAGGAAAAACACTTCAGTGGACAGTTTCTGGTTGGAAATTGTGCGCATTGATTAGGCGGAAAGATGAATTTATAGTTGAGAGTTGATCTTTTCCTGCTTATACAAGTGGATAATTACAAGCGGATGGGCGTTTATGTTGTCTCATGGACATACTTACCAGTGGTTTATATTTTAACAGACATATTACACAATAGCATTGACGTGTTAATGAACCACGATAGACGATTATAACAGTAGTTCATTGGTTGGTTCTATCGATTGAACCAATTATCCAAGTTTAAATACTAAACAACGTTGCTATGAAGCATCAAGAGTTTACAGTAATCGATTGACATAAGCGACGACAAAAATGAAAAAAAGAACAAGTGCATAATGCAATAATAAAGATAACAATTTTTGGTTACGTTATTCGAAGTCTTGCTCAACATTGTAGATCACCGAATTCGACAATTTCTGTCGAATGGTTGGGGGCTTACTCGAGCTAGGCGGAAATAGTGTGACGGACCAGCTAACTTCGAAGCCACACATCGCGGTCAGCACCTAACGTGGTGGCGAGTTTGGCTATGGCTCAGTGACATTTAATCGACAACACAGTTTCATTGAATTTTCCAGCACACCTGAATGACTACTCTTGAAAAATTGGCTTGTTGAAAGAAGCCATAGAATTTCCCACAACGTCTACGTTCGACTTTGGTGAGCTGTAGTTGGTGCAAGCGCACACAAAAATGGCGAAATTTAGCTGTCCTACCTATTTAGAGAGTGTACGGGTTACTTTTGACATTGAACTGTTACAAGCATTCTTCACATATATTTAAACGCAATGCACCAAATATGACCACGAGTGTTCCTGAATTTGTTCAGTCCATACTATAGTTAGATGAGTTTATGGGAATGACCATGCTTTGACCTTGTATTAATGCTCCGGAGGTGGCGTATATCAATAATAGGGAAATCTGGAAAGTTAGTCTATGACACATGTTTCCTGGTCTAGCACAACTTTTGAATATGAGCGTACACAATATGTGATTTGAACGCAACTTCAGGTCGTCTCTCTTTAGTCTACAACACCGTTAAGGGGCATTTCCACCAGATGAACTGGGTAGCTTAGTTGATTTAGCAATGGTCCAGACGATTGCAGAGCCGAAAAAATAGATTTTTGAAATCGTCCCAAACACGGTTCTACTGCGGATAATTGTTGATTAATTGAGTTCAAAAGTTTCGGGCTTTACACACTTATATAAAGATCCACGGAAAAAGTCGCGTGGTATTTTCAGGATCGACGATTTAAGCTGACTAAACGATGAGCCTGAGTAATCATTTAAATGACCTTTAGAAATTTACGATCCTATTTGGCACATTTGCGTTAATGATTCATAGTGTCAGGACTAAATAGTATTCCTGAGACTTAGAGTTAGGACTCAGCTTATGACCTAGGATTCCTATTTGGTGTTAGGAATTGGGTCTCAGGCTGCAGTCAAAATTATGGGTTTGGTTCGAGTTTTTTTAGGCTTGTGAGTTACCGTTGTGGCTAAGCACTGAAGTTAGGTATCTCAGTAACTTCGCCCGTACCCCATTCATGAATCTAAACATCACTCAACTTGTTACCTGTGATACTCAAAGATATTTCCTCCGTCGATCACTGTCTCTACAGAAACATTCCACATAGAAACCCGGCTTTGATAAGCAGTTTATTATTCTAATCACCTTTGCCTGAAAATTATTCCGAAGTGATGACGGATATAGCTAACTTCATGGAAAATTAGTTCAAAGTACCAACCCGACAACTATAAGAGGAACATGTGAATTGAATATTATTTAACTGGCTGGATAACGAGAAGATCGACCTTGCAAACGTACCACTAAAAATCCGTCAAGAATACTAATTATAATGCAGTTAGAATAGATATAGAAATGATAATTTAGGAGGTCTAGTAGTTGAGATAGGAAAATGGTACAGATTTTTCCAGTATATCCCTCTCCAAACTTATATTTAGTGTCTGCAAACTCTTTAGTTGTATGTTTTTTACTAGGAATGGACTAGTCATAACTGGTTACAAGGTCTAGTCACACGAGCATAGCGAAGAGGTTACATCAAGAAAACTTTCAATAACCGAGTGGATTCTGTGCCTTCCACAGCAAAAAGTACGTGAAATATCATTAATGTATTTTCTCGAAAACTGATCCGTTTGAGTCTGGCAGGTATAGTAATATAAATCAACTGGTTGCCTCATATATTTCGACTGTCCCATAAAAACACACTCACTGGGTGATTGTTGGCTTCAAGAATCTGATAGAGCTGAACATCAGATCGTATGCCACGAAAAGAAATCGCTAATAATACTGGATGTCTTACAGAGGTGATAGCAGATTATATATGGGACGTTCATAAGCCATTAGAGTTTACTTAACTTTATTTGATCGGTTTTCAGAGACAAGTTTAGCGGCAAAAAGAATAATGATCGGACTCTTTCTCTCATTGCTCAATCACGATCTATATGATGTTGATTTTTGTGCGCTGGTGTATTCAGGTGATTTTTGGATTTGGAAGATTTCGGAATGTAGCTATATCTTAATTTTTAACGACCTGGGTAGTGCCATATGTCTGGTTGAACGATAAGCTTTGCTCTCGTAATACGAATAAACCCAAGATGTTGATGTTGACCAATTGCGATACATTCACGATCTTCCTTCAGAGTGAGTTCAGTACCACACTTTCTAACAAACAGAAGGGCATGCGCATCTACATATGCATTACATGATGTCTCTTCCATTGACACTTAACGATAAGTAATGCATACTTCTTTCTGATCCTTTCAAAAAATTATATAAAACAATCCCTTTCTCTATGGTACACACTTCACAAGTATTCACACTAGGCTATACTCATTATGGAACACTAATCTACCGCAAAAACTCATGATATCTAATGACACCGAAAATGTTTTTCACGCCTCAAAATTAGTAAGAACAATCTGTCAAATTTAATTCCTCTCGATTCAGAAAATCCTGGCTGTATCACTGAATTTTGTTTTAATATTTGCAGTGTGCATTCAATATTGTGTAATGCTTGTTTGTTTGAAACAGTGACAAGGTAAGAACCGCCAGTGAATTGTCACGTTAAGGATGGCTCCGACTGGGAAGACAGTAACTGGATGCAAAAAGGCTGTAATGTGCATTTTTGTCAGATTCTTATGTTTTTAGAAAGCTTTGGAATCCATTAATAGTTGCTTAGCTCTGGTGATGAAAAGTGGGAAATGTTCTATTGGCTTACGGCAAACTCTTCGTCTCTTGCGCAAAGGAGGAGCGAGATTAATAATTATTGCCAACAATGCTCCTCCATTGAGGTATGTTGGTTTGCTTTTGTCTGAGCCCATTGAGGGTTACGAAGACGCATGAGATAACCTTTCTATTAGATATTTCTAACGGAATGTTGTTAAATCATATTTAGGAAAACCGAAATAGAATACTACGCAATGTTGTCAAAGACTGGTGTTCATCACTATAACGGAACCAACCGTGATCTTGGAACTGCGTGTGGGAAATACTACAGAGTAAGCACTCTAGCCATCGAAGATCCAGGTAAGATTATCTTAATTCAGTATACATTTCTTAAGGTGATTCTGACATCATACGTTCTGCGCCACACGAGGCGGAAACAAAGTAATCTAATAAATTTTCCACGAATCTTATGTCTTCTCTCTTGGGATTGGTTACAGATAAGTAATGTCAAACTTACTTTTCCGCTAAAACGCGTCTTGAGGGAGATCGCAGGTTCCGTTATGATTTAAAACCCTACATATATACATAATGCCGTCATAAAATCCGCATGATTCCGTCCTGTAAGGTTTCTAACAAGTTTTTTCCTACACTTTCTGCTGTTTAATTTAAGATTTATTTCAATGTCAGGAACGTTCGCAGGCTTCTACATGAGTTGGTACAAATATAAAGCTTTTTAGGAAAGTGTCGTAATGATGTTGAGGGAAGTCCAAATTTTTTATGTTGGTCAGATAACGTTGCTCGACAAAAGTGCCATGTATGACCAGGTAGTGCTACTTTTAGATTGGTAGTGCTCCCCCTTTAGTACCTTAATTTTGTGAACCCTTGTGTAAGAGGTTAGTTGAACTAACCTAGACAATGTGAAGACTATGTACCTGCTAGACATTCAAATCATGGTTCTTGAGACCTTTACATATTGTCCTTGCATGTCGTGATTTAGATTTCTGCTGCTACGCGCGTGGGTAGGCGCCATTTCCTGATTGTTGGGATCAATGTTATCCCGTGCAACGCGTTTGCGACCCAGGTATACAAAGGGGACTATCTGGAAGGCTGATAGGACGGGCGTCCTAATTTTGTGTTTGGTGAACTATCGCAGCTCAGTGTAGCTGTGACACTGCGTGGCTGTTGACTTCACGTGTTGTTATGGAGGCTACGTGACTGGTTCTCATTGTTTGTATGAACACAAAACCACCCATGTTTCGGCGACGAGATTCTCCTATACGACGTATGATGAATTCCAACCAGGAATTATACATGGTTTTATAAACGGCGGTGGCTATCTACACGTAAGACTAGTTGGGTCCCGTCTACTGATTAATTTTAGGAGTCCTTAGCGTGCACGAGCTATTCTGATAAAACAAAGCTAAAGTTTTCGTATCCGTGGGCTATAGGGACGGTCGACAGTGCACTTACAATAGGAAATATAAGTCATTAGCCACCTTGTCAGTGTATCAAGACATTTATATGTTGACGTTCTCACAAACAGGTAAAACACAACCAAAAGTAGAAGTTATTGTATACAATTCATAAAAAAGTAAAGGAATATTGTTGTTAGTTAGTGACTATACCTACAGGAAGGGATTTACTGAATAGAGAAGGGAAATTGGAACAAATTGTAAACGCTGAAAAGAAGTATCAGACAGTAAATGAAACCGTCGTCGAAAAACAGTCATCAGAATAAGGTATGAAGTTGGTATAAAGTGATAAGTTATGTGGGGAATCCAAGTTTATTTTCATGGTGTATTGTGTGATACTGCTTCTAATGTTAAGCCAAAAAGTTGTTTCAAGTTCTGTTCATGTAGATCTCAGAATAAAAGTTCCAGGTTATCTCCGGCAACGTCGACGAATATTCTCCAGGCTGTAATATTACTAACTGGCAATACTACCGCTAACCTTAAATGCTGTTGACTTTAGATTTAAGCTTTGAGGTAGTGTCTGAACTCCGAAACATTCTAAATGGTAGTTTGAGTTTCCTGAGACAACACGACGTGCTTCTTGACATCCAGCATCTGGTACTATCGGCCTTCCACATGACGCACATCTTGGTGCGTAGCGTTTATGAAAATCAGTAAGACAGTGTAGTCGACCATGAACATCAATGGTAAAAGGTCTAGAATCTAGTCTACCTGCGCATACTACACAGACGAAGCAGTTGGGATGATAGGGCATCCCAAGAGCGTGAACTACTCTATCACCTATGGGTCTATGACAGTTTGAACATGCCTCAACACCCCCGTCACGTACACAGGCCGGGCATAACAAACGTCTTAGATTGTGGTAGTATGCATCTGACTTCAGCGGAGCAGCACAACGATAACATGTAAAACAAGCCACATGAAGTTTTACACCTAAAGCGCCTGTTAGAGTCACAACATTGTTTGTCGAAGCTAAACTGCCACTAAGTGTGCTACCTTCCGGTGGGACAAGTGAACGACGACATCGAAAACATATGTTTTGACCCGCAGTTGCATTGGTCATTGCGCTGGCAGTATCATTAGGAATACACATACTAGAAGCTGATTCAGTGGGAGAGTTTGTTGATGAGCTCCCAGTTGTTGAAGCAGAAGTGACCGCTGTTGCCAATGGACTACCTCGACCACCATTCACATTCCCTCCAGCAGTGGAAGTAAGGCCTGAGTGCTGTTGCAAACGTCCAAACTGAGAGTTGAGACCACTCCCACGCCGTAAACTCCCAGCTATTAAGGGGAACAGAAAAGACAGGTATATCACAAACAACATACGAATCCAACTACGAAGAACGTTACATTATGAGAACTATTCTGGTTGTAATTCCAAAATTAAATACCAACATTCTAAGCAATCGATATCAGGGCTGACAATTTTCTTAACGATTAAAGATAGGTTAGCTGATTTCATGTGAGTTTTTATTTAAGCTGGCAATTTTGATTATTGAGGAATGATCACCTTTCTAGAATTTCATATTTACAAAAACTGTCCGTAAACCTGAATCTTAAGTTTTCTGTTTGCCGCTAATCGCAAGAGCGAGCATACCAGTTACAATGCACACTGTGTAGGTATTTAGGTAACACACAAAGCGCTTTCTCAGTTGACATTCATTTGATATCTTGTCCTTGGGATAAGTGGAGATCGCTCAGGTGGAAACATAAAACCACGTAGTTCATAACTTCATTTTATTACGAGATTCCGAACTCAGATCAGTATGCAGTGATATGAAGACACAAATACATTTTACTGATGAACAGCAGATACCTGATAAGGTGAGACACTAATTACTTGGTTCCAAACTGTTTTGCTACATTTCCCTACCGCTGAAAATATAACTTTAAAATGCTCTATCATTACGAAAAATTAAGAGTGGTTTTGAACAATAAAGTTAGACTGAAATTTTGTAGCAATTAGTGAATCTACTCTGGTCTTCTCTTCTTTTAGAATTTTCAGAACTCTGATTTTGTTAACATTTTAATTGTCGATTCTAATCTTACGTAGCTTGTTAACTAATCTTATCATCTAATTTTTAGGACACCGTTCCTGTTAATTACTTAATTTCACAGCTAACCAAAGCATCTATGTTTACAACCAATTTCAATTCCTATTCCTACTGTTATGTAATTACCTGTAAAAATTAAATGATTATAAAGAATCACCATATAATCCAAAAGTCGTGTCACTAGTAATTATATTGTTGAAGTGACTGACCACTTTCTAATTGGTATTGAATTTCTACTCATTAGTAAAACCTATATATTAGTGTAGAGCCCCTACAAACAACGAGTTGAAAAGCAATATTTCTTCGTTCGACCTGTGTTTTTGACTACCGAACAGTAAGAGCAGAGATTTCTTGGCAAATTTATTTATATAATCATGGTGGAGAACGCTACATAATATGATTGATAAAAATCAAAAGGATACAAAATGCATATCTGTTTAGTTGAAACATAATGTCTATAAGATTATCAAATGATCGAAATGCGATAGAATTCAGTTAAATTCTGGAGCTTGGAAAATATCCCATTTGGTTAAAGTATTCTTTAATGAACAAACAGAAGATATATGTCCCCGATAAACAATAAAGAAGAAGTAAATTAGTCGCTTTTTGCTGCTGATTTTGAGTTCTTATATAAGGAACCATGAAGAAATTAAGACTATGGAACATATATTTTCTGTTTAAAACTATCAGCCCTGACTCCAGACTTAACAGATTTAAAATAAATATACTGCAAGCTATTAAGTTTTAAAACATCCATGGAGTGCATCCTTGACAAAGTCAAGTGCTAGTGAATGGTCGCAGATAAATTTCAGTCAGTCAGTCAGCTAAAACGTAGGACTAGGCACATATATACATCGGTCCAAGTTGCCATACCTCATTAACACAACACGATGAACACGGGATTCATAAAAGTAGTTAATTCAGAGGTGGTAATATATAAAAGAAAGATTGCAATAAGGATATAGTACAGGAAGAAAGAATTAGTTCGCAGAAAGAAAGATATGAAACGATTTTAATCTTTTAGTTTAAGGGAAGACAGGGAGTGTATACACCGACACCATTGTGATCGATTCTGAGCCATGTCATCAAGAGTCTCTAACCATTGGTTACGATAGTCACGCGGACCCCAACCAAGTAGTCTGCATTTACCAACATGGCTCAGACTAGAAGTTAGTGTCTTCCAGCACTGATGCCACGTTTTGGTTTGGCCGCCCCCATAACTTTCTTCCAACCATCTCCAATACCGGATAGCATTGCACGTCGTGGTAATCGGTGTTCAGGCATACGTAACACGTGGCACAACCATCTCAGTCGATGAAGATTCATAACCTCATCAACTGATTTACCATCATTCCCTAATACCCTGCGTCTAACCTCACTATTACTGACCCGGTGATCCCAGCAGACGCCAGCAATATTTCTAAGGCATCTGTGGTCAAATACTAGTAGCTTACGAGTGTCTTCTACTCTTAATGGCCATGTTTCGCTGCCGTAAATTAAAACAGAACGGACTGCCGCGCAGTATACTCGTCCTTCCAGTGATAGAAGAATATCTCGCCTTCATCATATGTAACGTAAGTTCGCAAAAGCCAAACGAGCTTTCTGAATCCGTGATGAGACTTCGTCAGACACCGACCCATTAGAACCAATCAGACTTCCAAGAAAAGTGGAGTTGTCGACGCGTTCGACATTGCTTAGTGCTACCAAAAGACTCAACATTTTATCAGCGTCTTCACCAAACAGGACTATGTCATCTGCGTATTCCAAGTCGAAAAGTGGACCTCCTGGATGGAGATCAATACCCGAGAATTCAGTCGACGAGAACGTTATTTCCATCAGAAGATCTATGATGAAGTTAAACAAAAATGGGGATAGCGGACAGCCTTGAAGGACACCACTTGAGGTTGCAAAAGTAGATGACAGTTCACTTTAGTCTCTGACTCGACTGGATGTGTTGGAGTAAAGAGCCTTCACAAGTTTTATGTACTTCTGAGGTACGCCTTTCAATGACAGACACTGCCACAGAACCTCTCGGTCAACAGAGTCAAATGCTGCTTATAAGTCAAGAACAACTATAATTGTCGGACGCCGATCAGTATGCCTGTGTTCTCAAACCTGACGAATGGTGAATATGTGGTCGGTGCAGCGACGACCAGGTCTGAAGCCAGCCTGATTCTCTCGTGTTTGGAGTTCACGAGTCTTAGTTAGGCGTCTGACAATTATCGAGGCTAGTATTTTAGATATTATATTAGTTAAACTAATCCCTCTGTGGTTGTCACAGGATCATTTTGACCCTTTCTTATATATTGGGACGATAAGTGATTGCGACCAGCCAGATGGAATAACGTCTAGCTCCCATAATTTAGCTAAAATATTAGTCAACCTAATCGCTACAATTGGACCACCATCCTTGAAGACCTCTGGAGCAAATCCATCTGGACCAGCTGCCCTTCCTCGTTTCAGATTACCTATAGCCTTTTGAACTTCTGCTAGAGTTGGGGGACCTACTTCAATATTCCATTCACACTGTCTGGGAGTGGAGGGCAGTTGTAGAGTAGCTGAAGTCCAGCTGAACTGTTCTCTGATGTGTCATCTTTTTCCGAAATAGTCTGACTTACACTTGACTTATTAATTCCAGTTTCTTTTATTAGTCTGTAGAGCTGTCTTGTGTTCTCTATAGCTGCCGCCTTTTCCATCTCTTTTGCTTTCACTGCCCACCACTGCTCACGGTCGTTTCTTAGACTTTTTCTTAACCTAGATCTGATTTGTTGTCGCTCTTCATCATGTTCGTAACCTGATGAGACGAGTTTACGAAAATCCATCAGTGTGATAGACCTTGAGGAAATCCATTGGTTCTTTGTAACCCTGTGGTTTAAATCACTGGTAGGTGTCACTGCTGTTTCCACAGGTGTTTGTATAACTTTCCAAGCAACATCTGGGTCAACCTCGTCTTTAGAAATACCCAAGTGTGACCTCAGTTGTTCCTGGAACCTACTTTTGGTTTTCTCGCTACTCAATTCAGTTCTAATGGGTCTTTTTCCTTAGGCTTTTTTGCGTCCAGCGAGGCGCAAGCAGATGCGTGCCCGTATTAGGGCGTGGTCGGAGTCCAAGCAGGTACACCAGAATGAGCGACAATCTTCTACCGACCCTCTCTCTCCAACGATGACTGATGGCAAATATGGTCTATTTGAGTCCATCGTTGGTTTGGTGTAGGGGGTCGCCATGTTAGACGATGTCTCTCCTTATGTTTAAAATTAGTGTTTGCTAAAAATAAACGATTGCCTCAGCACAACCGCAGCAGTCGATCACCATTATCTAATCGTTGTGCCGGAATACTAAATTAACCACCTAAATGCCTTTCTGTTTGGTTTAAGCTACCTATCTGAGCATTAAAGTCACCCCCTATGAGTAATATGTCTGAGCGTTTAGCTTTCTGAAGAAGGTCAGAAAGCTTTCTGCATAAGTCATTTCTCATTTCAACTGGGCTACAGTTAGTGGGAGCGTAGGCAGAAACGACGAAAAGGCAACGACGTGTGTCCCTATCCTTCCGAGTTCTCACGGAGCCGTTTAGCCGAACAGCACATAGACGACTGTTGACGGGGATCCACTCTAACAGTGCTTGTTCCGCCCTCATGCTTAGTGCTATCCCTACTCCTGCAAGTCCACGAGAGCTGGCCATCGGGTCACCAGATACACGGAGGGTGTATTTCGTTGGCTCTCCGTTTTGTCGAGGTGAGGTCAAGTGAATGACCACACTGGAATCCTGTATGCGTGTTTCAGAGACACAGCATACATCAATGGTATGAGATTCTAGGGTTCTAGCCAGGGAAGCCTGTTGGCCTATTTGACATAGGGTGCGTACGTTGAAGACTCCAATGTGTAGTTTATAGCAGGGTTTCAGTAGACCTGGGAGAGTGTTTTTTAGCACTAAAATCGTTGCCTGTGGTGACACTTGAGGGGGAAGCCGAAAAAGGAAGTTTAGAGGTGAAAGTCGATGTAGGAGGAATAATAGGAATTGAAGAGGGAAATTGATTATGAATACAGTGGTCTTGAGTGCTGTTAGAGGTATGAGGGCGGTTATCACTTCCCGGTTGCCCACACCGTGGAAGGGTTCTTCTGGAGGTACCTGAAGAGGAAATTTGATTAGAGGTGGACTTAGTGACCTGGGAGCGTGACCAAGGGACAACTGCTTGAGGTCGGTCACACACGACCTTTTTATGGGTAATTTTTGTGTTACCTCCGTACTTGTTGAGACCTTACCGCCGGAGACGGATATCCGTGTGCATTTTTGGGGTCGACCTTTTCTAACCCCACCCCTCCTTGTGGGAAGGCAGCATCGCTGTCATGCTGGTTGTCTGAAGGAAACACCTTACTGCTGCCACACCTCTGTACAGTCAGCAGTACGACCTCGCCTTCGGACCTTGGGTTTGTTGCTTTTAGTCTTACCGCTCTTCAACCGACCTGCCTGACATGGTAGGACCTTGAGGAACGGTTGTTCCAGCCAGTATAGCTCGGCTGCTTCATCAAGATAGGCAAGCCTGACCACTACGTCAAGGTAACAACAACGGTCGAAATAAATTTAGAATTGTTTCATTATATATGATGTTCTGAGTACAAAATATACCACTAATAATTACACTGAGCGCTATACGGCTTTTGGTTATGGTGTTTATTTCTGTTAGCAATTGGAGGTACATGATGACAAAAAGACAACAGTAAAAATTTCTTGCAATTTAAGGCATATCAGGCGTAGGTAAACTTATTTATTATAAACTATTAAAGTTGTATTTCAAATAAAAAGTTTCTCTAAATTACGAGTTGACCGTATTTAGGTAGTTAATAAGTAAACATGTGATTAAACTGAACTGTTCAGTTTATGAAGACAGTCTTTGTTGTTTCGGACCACATAGGTAGGTGTGGATTACCTGTTTGAGGGTTCGAGCAACTGTCGTACTCAATGGTTGGAAACTTTGAAAATAATGGCGCCAAGTCGTTCGCAATAGCGCAGGTACACCCACTCTTTGTCTTACATTAGATCCCAAGTATCTGAGTTTTTCATAAGTTTTATTATTTCACCAATGTATATTATCTCGAACTGTATGTTGGATGGCTTATCTTTTTTATTACTATTAATACTGGTACTACCTCTTCTATACTGGGATTCACCCGTTCGATTTCATATCGCTGTGCTAATGGGATACGACAACTTGAACCGATATACATATGCACCACGTTCTACGCTGAGTCTGACTGACTGAGATCTGACCATGTCTTACACTGACAGATATAACTGTACGACCAACCATATGAGCTTCCTTCCAACCATATGAGCTTCCTTCCAACCATTCATAGTCTTTCCTTGCCAAAAAGATTTGCGCTCAGACTTACAATGGCGATTCAATGAGGATGAATTTATCAATTTAATCGAAACGAACAAGTAAAAAAAAAACTCTAAACTATTTTCACATCAACTTAGCTAGTGAATTAACACCGCGTGCATATACATCCATAGAACAGACTTTGAGTCCCTACTACAGTATTGAGGCCAAGTGACACTATTTGTTTTCATATACTTGAGTATAAAAGTTTAAACCGTGACTTTGTGGCTAATCAGAAAAGTACCTAAACAAGTGAATCGCCACTCCATAATTGATATGAAATGATTATCTTCAAATACTGTATTACCTAACGTTGATATAGAGTCTTTCAATTGCCATATACATCTAAGCAGTTATATTGGATTGAGAGTTGATGGAAGGAATAGACAGATTGTACATATACTGAAAAAACTAACCTGGAGAAGAATTGACTGCGTCTGGCCCAGAAGTTAATGTCCCACCAGCTCCAACTGAAGATACAGACGACCGAGTCTCCATGCTTTGCATTAAGAGATTTGTTAAAGCATCGACTTCAGCTTCAGGATCTGAAAGTGGTGGTGCAGGTCGATTTATTGGCCGATTACCAGTAGTAAGGACTGATGAAGTTCTAAATGTAGATTTAGTACTTTCGCTATTATCAGTTTGCAGAGCATTTGGTGTGTTATCTAGATTTTCAGAAGAATGAGAAGCCATTGTGTATGAACTTGATGCAATGGATCCTCTAGAGGCACCTAAATGAACAACTGGTATTACAATCGACTGACCAATAGTGCTTGAGCTACTCCCCTGAGATGATCGTCCAAGAGACCCGGGTTTGTACCAGTAAACATTATCACGCTCCGAAGAACTTCTCATTGGATATAGTTGTGATGCCTTTATGGACGCAAATTTATAACATGCAAGTTCAATTTAATAGCAAGGCAAACAGTTTGGTTTATCCTGGTTAAAAATCAATATTATTATTAGTCAATTTTTGTGAATTCATTAGACTAAAAATATACTGATGCACAGTAGTTGAATATAACGCACGAATATCAATATCATTTAATCATTATTCTAACTTAAAGCATTTGAAACTACTTATCGTTCTTTTGATGTCTTTTATTTTCTCAATTTAGAGTTATCTCGAAAATCTGAATATCTAGTGTTAAATATTTAATATCATCATTCAATTCCAAATACCATGATACTTGAACACCAAAGAAAAATTTGACGACGATCCCAATGTCATCAATTTTTCACATACATGGTCACGTGTTTCTTACTAGTTACTGAAATTTTACTGTAGCTAACTACATATCAATATATGCCAAAATCTTACCGAATCCCGTGGTCCTCATGGGATCAAAGATTTGCTTATTGCTTTCTAATAAATCTAACGACCAATAATAATATTTGCCACTAAGCAATGCCTTTAAATCGAGCCATACAGAATGACTAACTGTAGTACTTGACTTGTTTTCCTATGTGCCTTAAGGATGTTAGCGCTTTCCAGTTTGGCCTGGTCGTGGAGTTAAATGACATAATTTAAATCAGCAAGTACTCTTTAAGTTATCAAATAATCCTTAAACAGTTTGTCTTAAATATCAATATTAAGCCTAATTTATCAATCAATCTCACTTGAGCATAGTGTGGAGCATCTGTTGATAAAATCGGAACAACAGGGTGACGATACCGTCGTTCAATCTGTGTCCCTGGCATCCTCGGTCCCGCCCGTTCATTGAACACACTATCCAGTCTGTACAGGCTATTTCCAGAACCGAATGAATGATGAGACATTAGAATCTGTTATGGTGAAATTAACGAAATGACAGCATTGTTCACTAAAATTAGGTCAACGACAGTTACACCAGTATATTTGTTTCTGATTGGCGAAAACGGTTCATAGCGGTCGATAGCAGAAACTAATCCTCTAAGATGAATCTGATTGGTTAATAATCGCCAATCCAATGGCCTTGGTTTATTGATCATTATGGTTTGTATTTGTGTGGATCTGACACGTAGATGTGCAGCTGTCAGCACAAATAAGTTGAAAATCAATGTACCCACCATATATGAAGAGAAAAATATACGGTAGAAATCAGTCAAGACTATGTAAATAGGAACTCATTTTCATTTGCATTGGTTATTTGAATCGTGACATTAATGTTTAGCTTTGCAATCCTTTGGCACATACTCATCCTGTGCAAATTACCCCAATATTACCTTTAGGTCACAAGCATTATAAGTAGAGATGGACAGTGGATAGCACTGGAATCAAGGACGCACACTTCGTCCCATTTTAGGACTCGTCAGCTTGATTTACCTGCCCAGCTTATCTTCCGTATTTGTTTAACTAATAGGCGAGTTAATAAAAAGTAAACAAAACACTTCATCCTAATATTAAAAATGTGGAAGTCGCATTGAATTAGGCCTTATTACATATAGATTATTTCACTTGGGATCTTTAGATTGCCTTCTTAACTGAATGGAAGGTGTTTTGTGAATAATTTATTTATTAAGTTGGGCAAGTGATTATTGACCTACTTGTGGTCCTCGATCATATGTCATCTAACAATTAATTCGATCACACTCTTTTCGTCGAATATTTTTCCTAAAAACGCAACCTTTAATTTTTTTAAAAATCCGGTGAAGACTGTAATTTTTTTGGGGAAAATCAGTTACACGTAAACCATAAAAAACAGGTTTTGAAGGTTACTTGGATACTTTTCTTTATGCTACTAATAAGAAGCTTTAGAGCAGAGTAAATCTACTGTATGACATTACCTCTTTCGGTAGACGAATTGATTTATTTGTATTAAAAATAATATTCATATATTCGTAACTTCCAAGAGAGTTCAAAGATTTTATATAGAGCGGCTGGGAAGAATAATTGATACATACAAAGGGAAAGTAATCAAACTTTTCTCCCGTCATGGAGATAATACTGGCAATGGAATTTCCAGCAATTATATTGTAATAACATAAATCCAGGACTTCATTGGACTGGTCTAATCTGCATTGTGTTGAAATGAATAAAAAATGTCCAAAGTCAGTTACTCAGTGTCTTTAATATTCATGTCTCAATAAAACAACGAAACACTATTAACAAACAAATTAATAGATAGGCAACCAAACAGAGACGTATTAAGAGAACTCAGGTATAAGGCTCTCAAATTAAACATAAAACTGAGCACAAGTTAACAATCTCACGATCAGTTTGACATTGTATTGCAAAATGAGTACAAAATTATGTGAATTTAGTGTATTGTTGTTAAATGCTAATATATACTTTCGAGTCGAATCCAAATGAACACCAAATATTCGGCTTCTTGTTCATTGAATATTACAAATTAACAAGTCTATTGTAAAGCAATCATCTTAGGCTTTACTTTTCCCATTCACATTCTTTCCAACAAGTCTTGGGAACTAATATAATAACTCTCACAGCACCATCTATTAAACTTATATCACGTTAAAATTAGGACATCTTGCACGACTAAGTATGGGTTCTTTGTGTTACAAATGCATACGTTGATCAATATACTAAGACCGAATTCACCAAAATAAGCTCTTATCATATTTGTTTACCCCGCCTATACTATTTTCGGCTATCGCTAGCTTCATTCAGTTTACTCTTTGATTGCTAAGGTGACTCTTGAGTTTGAGGCCTGGGATAATTTTAACTTCTGTTAGTCCAAAACGTTAACACTTCTGTTCGATAGAACACACCGAGCAGTAGTTCGGTCATTAGTTTATATACTTATATTGTCAGACCAGAACACTCCCTAGTATGAAATCATCACTTTACGTATATTCATGTCATAAGTAGGAGGGAAAGTAGCAGACGCTACATAATTAATTAAAAATAATCAATGAAAAATAAAGCGTCCAGTCTATGGATCCTAAGGAATCTCACAATACAGGGAATGTAGAAATACAATGATCCACTTATCTAATAATTCTACAATGGGAATATCATTAGTAAAAACCCGTAAAATAATCCAAGTGTTTCAATACTCGTTGTTGTGTTATTCTGTTAACTTGATTTATCTATACTGTAATCATTACGAATGTGAGTTACTACATATTCAACAGGTGTAAACGCTCTTTAGGGTGGTATGTTACATATGTCCATAAATACGTTTTACTATTTGTATGACTCAAAATCATAAAACAGTACGAAAGTGTCTGCATAACAAGCCGTAGATAATCAAATAGAGGTTAATAAACATTTTCAAACACCTGCGTAATAAATCAATCATATGATTTGCTCTGAAATAAGTAAGTGTTGAATATAACTACACTAATTCTTCATGAAAAGCAGTCAAAATGGACTGGCTGACGTAACCTGTGTCTGACTTATCAATTAGATCCCACTGATAGATGTTCGAATAACGACATAATTACGAAAAAACGATGAAGTTAAACTTCTTACTTAATTAGTACACATAAATTCACTGAAATCTTCACATTCAAGTCATGTTAGTTGGAGACAGTATTTGCTTATCATTTTCTCAAACCTGAAATAGTATTTACTAATCAATCTATTCCCTAATACTCATAAAGTCGACTTCAACTGTTACGTTTGAGTGAACTCTTCAATAAGCATTTTTCCAGTAGGCTATCTTCATTAAGAATAAGCTACAAAAACGTCTTGCTCCCTAAGAACATAAATGTCATGCTTAAGTGAGATGAAATATCTACAATGTTAACTTCACGTTTTGCACTTTACGAAGGTACCCTGAAGTAGGCCATTGTACCTTGATAAATTGTTTGATTCCACTTGTCACTATTTAAATGTATAAAATTAAGACTCATTCCTGGTTGTATACTCTCACAGGTACTTTTTTTACACTGACTTATGAACATCGGGACAAGTTTATTCGTCATGAATTCGAAACAAGTCAGTGGTCGCCTATATGGTTGGTAATTCGGTGTTGTGTCATCTTTAGAAATGGATTACGACGTAACAGAAGTTATTACGTGTTGCGTAGCTTCGAATCCTTTCCAATCTGTCAGAAAATGTCGGCGTTGGCATAGTAATGATGTAACTTTCCATTAACGTACCAGGCATCTTTTACTAATACATATTCATATAATTTGTTTGCTGATAGTCTAGCACTTTACGGATTTCGGTTTAGCTTCTGATTTTTAATAAGTAACATCAGTGATACCCTGGATATTTTCGCGTAATACTTTGCAATGTCTCTTGGCTCCTCCTTTGTCCAAACCCTTACCACCTTTACCACGACCAGACATGATTCACAAGAATAGATACACTAACTTGCAGACAGACACAAGACGATCCAATAAGTAACATAAAGTAGGTTGACTGCTGTAAACCAAGTTCATGAGGAAATTACTCATTTGAAGTTTAAATTTCTAGGTGGACGATTAGTAGGTATATACATATATATAGCCCCCCAAATGCCCTGGTACGGCCAAGGGTGAGGAGAACCAGCTCTTTCTCACGAAAAGCTCTCATATGGCCACACATATGCAACCACCGACAGGGAAGTCCTATTCACTGCCTTCTGGCAATGGGTGTTTTGTTTACGAAAAGCGAGTGTTCGACGGATTAACCGGGTTGGGTGCGGAGAGTGGACCCATAAGAACACCACCCGCTTCGGTTTGGGCTCCTGAGCAGCATTCTAGTCCTCACACAAATCGGATAACGAGGTGTGGCCTATGTGTACTTGGTGCCTCTTTGTACCAGTGCTTATGCGTCTAAGTAAATAATATATATAGAATGACTAATCATACTTCTTTAAATTTCATGTAGGCTTTCGGAAACGAAGTGACTAGGAATTCCTCAATATTTAAATTAGTATGACTACTTCAGCAAGTCAACTTTGTAGAAATAATCTACACCTGGAAATGGTTTCACCACTTAGTTTTGAACGTTGAGTAATAACTGGAAAAAATTGGTAAAACTTGAAGTGCTGTCACTATTTATTCAAATGTTGTCTACTTAGTTTTTATTTCAGTAATCCTTATTACCTTTGGCAGAACGATAATGGATGGATTGTGCAATTTTAGTCTCATAGGCATCTGAGAATTTATTTTCCGTCAGTAATGTGGTCATGAAGTGTTAATCAGAATAAATTATATCAGCATGTGTAAGAACCCATCAGTAATTAACATATATCAAGTATTATATAAGCGGTTTCGGCTCCCTTTGGATTCTAAGAGATTTAGAATCACCTTAGATGATAACACTATAGCTACGGGAATAAACGCCTTTTTCGTAAGTAAAATTCTTTAAAAATATCACGTGAGGGAACCACAGAATCCGTAAACAAGTACCCTCGGCATCAGTTGCAACACCTGCTACAATGAGGTATACCAGACGACATAAGTCAATATTGAATAAGGAAAAGCAAGTACCTTGTACATAATAAGACACCTAAACTACGGTAACTTGAATAACCAGTTCCGACTGCCCAGTTTGATCTTGAGTTGGGAATGCATATGCAGTTACGTCCTTTTTTCTGACATCTGAAACAGTAGCCCCGATTATGTGCAAAGTTTCTCAACTTAGATTTTATTATGGCTTTGCAAAGTGGGAATATATCACCTGGTTTTTTTAAGTGCCCATTTTGATCTCATTCCGTCACAAACGGCAGCGAGCCATAGTCCATAATTCACGACTTAATAAACTAAGTAATTGGTAGTATGGACTGACTGGATTACTGGTTTTTCTAAAGCTGTAGTTAACGCTCAACTGAGTAGGAATTGAAAAGATAGACCATCAGGTGTTACCTGAATAAGTTTACCAAGATATTGAGCTCCACATGCACACAATAAGTCTTCGCGATTTCCAGTAGTTCTTACGTACATTGTGTGAGGCAGCACAAAAGAATTAGTAATATACGGAGGCTAAATAACATAAACGTTAAAGACCCTAGTAGTGTTTTGATGCCGCTGACTAGGTACATGTTTTTAAACAACCTCCTGATCCTTTCGCCATTTTACTAGACTGGATTACCCTGGGATATTGCCATCTCACATAATAGCACTTCGTCAGTCCTTAGTTTCTTGTAACATGGGACTGCCTTGCGAAACCCCAGTTTGCATTTCAAAGTATACTTCGCACGAAATGTCTTGTGGAATGAATTACTACGTCTACTTTCAGCTCACTGAGAGAATACAGACCATGACATTCTGATATCCAATTTCTAGTGGGGAATGGATTTTTCGACATACTGTTATGTGGAACTCCACGGATAAACATTGCCTAGTGTTGGGGTCGGTCTCCTTGATGTCGACAGCAGCTAAATTCTCGTCTAGAATAACAATGACTCGTCCGTCATAATACAGGGCACTCTCACTTTGCTGCCCCTTTTGTAAAAACATTTATTTGTTCGAATTGGGAAAGCTGTTATGTATTCTACGTAACTCAAACGGACCTCACGAGGCTCGGATAATCATTATTGAAAATGCACATCAAAGACACAACAGCAACTCACCCTTCATTAAACCACGCAGATACTAAGGTGCTCGACGGATCCAGTCCACGTATGAATTACTGAATACGAGTTACACGTCTCTAGGAAAGCAACGTCGAGTCCGAAGATATGACATTTATAAAGCCAGGACATTTCTGATCCTTACTGAGCAACCGGGCTACATCTCGTTAATAGGGGAGACCATACTTTCCTTTCGGTTAGCATCAAATCCCTTGACAAATGTGGAAGTAGATACAACAGTGATACCAATCTACGTTACAAACCAAAATGGTATAATCGAGTGGCGGATGCCGTTATCACAAACTAATTCAACAGTTTCTTCGTAAACCAAATATTAATCGGTTTCGACAGTATTTCCTCGACAGCATGCGTTATTTCACAGTGTTACCTATGTGCGACGGACACATGGGGCTTTGGAAGCAATACCCAACTAAGATTCAGACAACCCAAATGAGACACTTTCGACAGACAGCAAGGCTGTTCAGGGCACTGACCACGGTTTACAATCATGGCGACTGGGCAACCTTAGGGAATAAACTCGGATTTGAGAGGCCTGTAATCAAGATTCGGTCATGAATGCTTCGAAATAGCCCTAATTTGCTGTTAGCGTGTGTTTATTACTGCTTCTAATTACAGGCTACACAAACTTGCAGCACGATATGTCGATATGAACCGCTCAGTCCCGTTATTTTTATGGCTTAATAAGTTACTTAATGAAGATTGTGTTGACCAACAATATTGATTCAGAAGAATTGACGCTAAGAAAGCCTTAGGAATAAGCAAACTCTATATAGGCTAACGGTTTAAGTCACTGCGAAGTGTTACTATTATTGGAAAGAAAACCGGGTATCAGCAACCGTTATTTCGCCTGAGTAACCCATGATAGTTTAACCCAAGTCACTATCCAGTAACAGCTACACGGAAATTTCTCTAATCTCACTGTTGCAGCAGGTAATCCGTACTACATATTAACCGTTTGAAATGAGCAAGAGTAAAGTGCACTAGATTGGGGGAGCTTTTCATCAGTAAATCTCATAATGCAAGGACTCAAAACTCCCAATAATTACCGAAAGCCTAGATATTATCACAGATACGTGCCCACCACAAACGAGTGAAGAATCAATAAAGTTGAATGGTCGTTAAGAAACTTTATTAAACACTTTCTATCCAATTCTTCACGAGAACGTCCTTTCGCAGAAGTTCCTGATAAGTTAATAATTATTAGGAATGAGATGCTTACGGTGGTAACATTTTATCTCTGACCGCTAGCATATTGATGCAGTCATCTACTTCACCCTGCAAAGCGGCATAGAAAGAAATGTATTTTACCATCGACCGGATTGATCCAGATAGATCATATGTCTTTTTGCTTCCACCAATCATGCGTCCTGTATTTGGGTCCAAATCAACGAACTGAATTTGAATCGAAGCATGGTCTTTTGCACCAATCAGCCGGTTAGTAACAGCACATCTTCTCGGTATGTAAATGTCTACAAACTCTCCAGCCTCGTTCTGCATCGTGGTTGCTCAAATTTCGAAGCTGTCGCCGTGTGAGTGAGCGTATATGACAATACAGTGCATTAAAGCAATGTTCAATAATTTTTATCCACATTTTACTTAATGTTGTTCAGAATTCTTGATGATATATTAGTTGGCCTGTATATATACCAACGGAGTATTTTTATGCCAGTGTACAGCTTCTCTTTCAGAGCATTCACACGTTGGTTGACTACTTCATTAAAATCTGTGAACGATAGGGACCTGTAAATATTTCGTTTACGGTAAGGTGAATTATTCTATGGGAATCAAAGATATAAAGCTTAATCTCATTTAAGTCGTTCAAATTACTTGGTGCTAATATAAAATATTTTGGTGACTAGTCATGAATCTGACGCCGCATATAGAGCCCTTAAAACACTACTGGAACGTTAGCCAAATCACTCAATAAGATGAATCATACCAATACTAGAATACAGGTCAATGGTCTTCGGATAACTTTTCTGACCCCGTAAAGGTCAAGAATGGCTAGCGCACGTCATCAGCCAGTCAAATCGGTGGTGGTCGCACTGTATATTTTTCCGACTTAGCGTTATCGGCACATGTTTAATATCATATTTGTTCTTTACGGCCTTCAGTAGAGCCACAGTATCTAGATATCACGAACTTTAATCCTCATTAGGCATAGTGACTTCAAAGTAAAGTAGAAGGTAACTACATCCCATCCAGCTCGCGTAAACTGCTTACGTCTGAAGAGATGGGGCTGAATATTTTTCTTGCTTCTGATGAGACAGGTTAGGGAGCCCAATGACCGAAGCATTAAATAATTTTGCCAATGCATGAAAATACTGACATCTTTTAGAAAAATTGGAATTGATATTTAAGGGAAATATTCAAGTATAAGTCTCGATTTGGTATGGTGCAGGACTTGAAACATTTATTGAAGAAAATTTTAAGCCTCTGAGATGTGATGGAATACATAGAACCATCCAAATGGCTGATAGATTGGAGTATAGTTTTATGAAAATCGATTCTTCAGAAATAATGATGGTTCTTCCCCGCCGATGGTGTACTGCTATCTTTCTTTATGTCAGATTTGTATTAGTACATTCTAA